CTTTTTTTTTTTTTTTTTTTTTTTGGTACGAGGGATAAACTCAAGTCCTTGTGCTTATGAGACAGGCAGCAGAACCACTGAGCTAAATCCCAACATTTTTATTAGGGAAAAAAAGGATATTACACGTTTAAGAGACTATGTTGCAGAGCTAGGGATTTCGCTCAGTGGTTCTGCCGCCTGCTTCTCCACCTGCTTTGCAAGTGCAAGGACCAGAGTTCAATCCCTGATACCAAAAAAAAAAAAAAGAGAGAGAGAGAGAGACTATGTTGCATTCATATGTAAGATTTTTGCTCAGTATCTTGATGTATTAGTTTTATTGTTGCAAATGGATACAAATATAGATATTTTAAAACACATTTAAAATTAGTCAATTTTATGGTGTTAAAATTCATTGATTAACCTTTCATTTAAAGAGAATACATGTAGCAAGAAAAAAAACGTCATCCAGAATACAACGTACAAAAATAAGGAGACAGAATACATGAAAGAGCAATTATGAGATAAGGAGAGTCAAATTTGAGTGTTTAAACATCTGTTTGGAATTTCAAAAGAATAGAGAAAAGGGGTGAGAGGCGATATTGAAATAATTACAGAATATTCCAAAATATGTAAATAATATTAATCTTAAGATTTAGAAAGTCAAATGAACATCAAAAAGATAAAAAGAAATCCAAATTTACAGATACCAAAGTAAAGCTGTAAAACTCTAAAGAAAGAATGTCAGCCAGAAGAGGTAGTAAAGATAAATTTTCCAGGGCTGGGAATTTAGCTCAGTGGTTCCACCGCCTGCCTCAGAAGTGCAAGGTCCTGAGTTGGATCCCTGCTACAAAAAAAAAAATCTATAAATATTAATAACGGAATCACTGGGGATATAGCTCAGTGGCACCACACCTGCCTGGCAAGCATAAGGTCCTGAGTTCAATCCCTGGTACTGGGGAGAAAAAAAAAAAAATAATAATAATGGAAGCCAGAACTCAGTGAAACATTATCCTAAATATTTAGAAAGTAATAATGATCAACTTTAAGTTGTATGCTTAAACTTTTATTCAAAAAGAGTGAAATATAAGATTTAGAAAAATAAAAGGTGATAAAGTATACCTCTGCAAAGCTTTACTTTAAAAAATTCTGAGGGGTATACTTCAGAAAGAAAGAGGCTTGTCTAAAAAGAAAAGTCAAAGGTGAAAGAAGGAATTGTGAGCAAAAAAAATGTGAAGTGTGTAAATCTATACATTGCTGTAAATTCTGCTGACAAGGGAAAAATTGTTACTGAATCACTGTATTTATGATTACTAGGTTTTGTGGATTTGATTTATTTTGTAGGTGTACAGAAGATGGGTGTCCCCATAAGAAATTCTTTCACACACGTTTTCTCATGCGAATGAGATTAACACCAGATTGTTCCAAAATGTTGATCTCAACGTCTTCTGGTTATCTCTTGATTTTACATGATCTTGACTTAACCAAATCTTTAGAAGTAGGCAGCTATCCCATTTTGAGAGCAAGAAGAACTACATCAAGTTCAGGTAAGCTTTTCTTTTTTGATTAAAAGAGTTTTCTAAAGAATCTGAGACGTTAGGAATGGTATATGTTGCTTTTCCAAAAATAGTATCAGGAAAAAGGATTGAAATTAAAGGCATTCCTTTTTCTTTCTTTTCTTTTTGCAGTACTGAGGACCAAACCCAGGGCACTCTTTGTCTCCAACCCTTTATATTTTAAGAGGGCTGGCCTTGAATTTGTGATCCCTCTCCTGAGTAGCTGGGATTGCAGATCATGTGCATACTGTACATGACTAAGAGGCATTCGTTAGATAACTTACTAAAAGCTTTTTTCCAAGGAAGTGTAAAGATCTATATGTATTTGTGGCATAGCATTTATTTGTGCCTCCATATTACAAATGGCCTAGGAAGAAGAGCTACTCTGAAAATTCTTTTAGTTTTGTGCTAGCCAGAGTGTCTTTCATGAATACTTCTAAATCATTGCTTTCTCAAAAATTAGTGATAGTTCAAGGTAGTATCAGTTTTCTGAAATCCTGTAGGAACCCAGCAAAACTTTTAAGTTATGGTCATTATAAAGTTTTAGTGTTAAAAAAAAATTTTTTTTAAGTTTTAGTGTTAAGTCTATACTATATACCTAGACTTTCCGATGACCAGAAACAGGTAGCTGGTGCCATCCTTACACCCTCTTGCCAAAGCCCTGTACCTTCTCCCATTGCTAATAGCATTACATTTAAGTGATGCTGAGGCTTAGAAAATTTTAAGTACTGTATTTTATCAACATGTGATTAAAAAGACCATATTTCATCTACCTTTGAGAAAGACAGCATTGTTCTATGAACATATCTGTTACTATAATACTGCTTTTATTAACAAGAAGACAGACTGTTCATGATGTGCTATTAAAAGGTGACTTCAGAATCCAGGGATTTAGCTCAGTGGAGGCACCTGCCATGCAAGCGCAAGGTCCTGAGTTCAATCCTGGGTACCAAAAAAATAAAAAAGGGTAACTTAAAATGATTGGACTCTTTCTCCATGATGCATAGACCACTCCTGAAGATTCTTGAGAAAGTGCAGCTATAACTACTACATTTGCCTAATTAAATTTTTTTTTGGTTTTTTTGAGACAGGGTCTCACTATGTAGTTGAGACTGACCTGGAACTCACTATGTGGCTCAGGCTGGTCTCGAACTCACAGCAATCCTCCTGCCTCAGCCTCCCTAGTGCTGGGATTACAGGCGTGAGCCGCCACACCCAGCTGCCTAATTAAATTTTAAAAGGAGACATTTAAGTTTTACCAACTTACTTGCAACCAAACAATTTTATGAATATGCAGACATTATGCTTTTAGATACAGATTTGCCTTTTTAAGTTAAGCATTGATAACCAACTTTAGCTTAGTGAAAAATAGTGATTTAGAAGGTGCAATTGACCTTGAAACCAAGAAGCTTTTCAGTCTTCTTGGGATAATCTGATATTAACTAATATCACAGGAATTTAGAATTCCCAGCCAAGCATGGCGGTGCTCAGTATGAAGGCCCCAGGTTTAATGTCCAGTACTACAAAAAATAAAAAAGAATTCCCTACAGAAGTATGGGGCTACTACTGATAATGTATAATTAAAACTGAGATTGTATTTGAAGTAATACATCAAACTTGACTATCCAGTGTTAATCCTATTTTTTCCACAAATTTTAATGTAAAGTTTTGTATTATATTTCAGAGCTAGTAATCACATAATTTCAGGAATTACAGCAGAAGTTTTGTTATACTTTAAAAACAGTAGTGAACCTTTTTTGGATGTTATTCTCCATTAAGCAAGATAAATGGCTCAGCTTTTATTTTCATTAAATTTTATTACTCTGCTTTAGTACGAAAATTATAGGAAGCCAAAGATGTTCCTGTGTTTATTTGGTTTTTTATTTTTACTTCACATAAGCAAGTCTTTGGTATAAAAGATTTAGAAAGGGCCTATATCTTAACAATACATTTTAGAGGACTGTCCTGATTTCTCCATCTTAGTTATAGCCTAGTTTTATGTGAGCTCTTTGTGGCCCTATTTCAGGAGGATTTTTAAAGTATAGTTCAAGTAGATAATTAAAAAGTTAAACACTACCAGTGTTATGTTACATTTATTGTCAAACTCTGTATCTTCAAGATTTGACCAGTTCATCAAGTTCGTCAGGTCCTAGAGTTTCTGGTTCACCCTGTCATCACAGTGATTCTAATTCATCTTCAGAGAAACACGTGTCAAGAGCCTCTCAAAGAGAAGGTAAGTGAAAAGTGGGATTTTATAATCTTGAAATAACAGGTTCTACCAAACAGCTTTCTTTTGATTTGGTTTTAATCGGTAAAAATAAAATCTAATAGAGATGAGGGTACTTCTTATCCCTCAGTCATCATTTTCAAAAAGCTCCCCATCTTGTATTTAAATCCTTGATGAAATTTTAGCTTTGGTTTTATTACCTGAGCCAAACTTAGTTTGGTCTAAATCCCTGGCCCCCAAGTGTGTCTTTTATTGGGTTATTTGGGGCTACCTTTTAGAAAGGGGCACATTTCTACTTCAATATTTAGAGCAGCATTAGAGCTTTTATTTGGAGGGTGAATTCTGCTGTGGATTCTCTGTGATGTAGCACAAGTAAAATCAAAGTAGCTCATGTTCAAGTGAAATTCACCCTCCAGTTTTCCCCACTGCTTTTCTACCTGGTTTCCTGTATAGTTCTTCCTTTTGTCAGCTTCCACAGAACCTTCAAAGAATACAAATAACAAACAGCTGCCTACCTATTTAGAGTATGTTTCTTTTCTGTTTTTGTTAGAACTTCACAAAATTCTTAAAATAGGAGTTTGTTTTTCTCTAAAATTGTTAAAATTCAGTCATGTGTAAACATTATTTAGGCATAGTATGGTTGTAGTAATGTAATTTACAGCTTCATGGTTTTCTGTCAATGATGTAGTAATCTAAAGTGGATCTTTAAAATAAGATCATGCATCTGCTTGAAAATATTAAATTCCTAAGCTGCTTCCTCACAGGAAATGTTCTTTGCATACCTAAGAAATATGTCATTCTAAGTAACAGTGACTTACTGCTGATGTCATTTTCATTCAGGGGCTGGGTAGAAGGAAATTCTGGGACACTGTGCAATCACCAGGAGGGTATGTGATTGACAGTGTCTTCCATCCTTTTTTTGACCTGCCTTTATGTGAAGTGTCTTCTCTCACCTCCAGAATTATAGCTTTATTTGTTGTTTATAGTACAGATGGTTCCCAATTTACAGTGGTTTGTTTTAGGATTTTTCAGCTTTACAGTGGTACAAAAATGATATGCATTCAGTAAAAACTGTGCTTTGAATCTTGATCTTTTCTTAAACTGGCAATATGCACGGTGATATTCTTTCATGATGCTGAGCTGTAGCTCCCAGTAAGCCATGCATTCATGTGAATAAACAATCTATGTTCTATAATATATTGTGTGACTACCCTGTGATATTTGGTATGTTAGGTGTATTAAGTGCAATTTCAACTTGATGGTTTTCTGATGCCACCATATGTATAGAAGCATCTGTATTGTCCTTTGGGATTTTTTTAAGTCCTCATTCTTTTATGTAAAGTAATTCTTGCTTCCTATATTTTCGTCTTTGCTCTACAGAGCACTAAGACCTTAGAGATGAGAATTGTTATGTATCTAGACTCCTATATCAAGTAGCTGTGATTCTTTTTGTTTTTCTTTATTGAGAAAGGGTCTTGCTCTATAATTCAGGCTGGCTTTGAACTCACTGTGTAGCCCAAGCTGGCCTCAAACTTGTGGTAATTCCCCTCCTTCAGCCTCTTGAATGCTGGGATCACAGGCTTGTGCCACCATGTCCAACATAATTGTGCTTCTTAAAGAATTTTCTCCCATCATCCAAGTACTAACCAGGCCCTGCTTACCTTCTGAGATCAGGCACATTCAAGGTGGTATGGCCACAGACATAAAGAACTTTCTGTCTGGCATGGTGGTACATGCCTGTAATCCTAGCACTAGAGAGGCTGAGGCAGGAGGATTTTTACAAGTTGAAGGCCAGCCTGAACTACATAGTGAGACCCTGTCTCAAAAAAAATAAATAAAAAACTTTCTAAGATGTAGATCCAATGGGACTCACTTGTAGTCCAAACTGGCCTTGAACTCACAGAAGTCCTCCTGTGTCAATCTCCTGAGTTCTGGGATTACAGGAATGTGCCACAAGGTGCAGCAAGTTTCTTTGTTATAGTGATAGTCGTTCTCCATACCCCCACTCCAAAAACACATACCATATATTGGGGGTGGGCAGTCTCCTTTTACAGGTGGTAGCATAAAGGACAGATTAAGGGGTAAAGCATGGGATGTAGATGCCAGAAATCTTAGTTTTGATCGATTACCTTAGTCTTTGAATAATACAAATCCAAAATCTTCATTTTCTTGTATTTCAGGAGTTTCACCTCGAAATAGTCTTGAAGTCTTAACCCCTGAAGTTCCTGGTGAGAGAGATCGTGGAAACTGCATTACATCCTTACAACTGCACCCTAAAGGCTGGGCCACACTTCTTCGGTGCTCAAGTAACACTGATGATCAGGAGGTACAGACAGCAGCGCTCCACCTTCAGCAGGGTTCATTGGACAAACTGCCATTGCCACATGTGCAGACTTTAGGCCGATCACTACATATAGTCTCTACCCTCAAGGGCACATTATCACGGACCCTGCTTCTCAACTCTCTATTGAGTGTATTTATTCCTTGCAAAGTTGTCTTCCTCCTCTCCAGCCTGGACATAGTGAACTGGGAATTACTCTAATGGCCATCATCAGCTCATATTGCTCCTAGCTTCTTAATTCTTGCTTTCTTTATCTCATTCTTTATAAAAAGAATAAAACAAACCTTTTTATAGTAAGCATAGTGCTGAGATATTTCAGCTAAGCTAGCTGAGAGATTTTGGTAAGTCAGTTATAATTTTCTCTTTTTAAAAACTAAAGGAAACTGGGAAAAACTTTAAAAACTAAAGGAAGCAGATGATAAGGGATAAAGGTTGTATGACCTTAGAATTGTCATCACTCTAGAAAGGAAAAATTTTCCTAAGATCTTACTGGCTCAGGAGATTGAAAGGAATAAAGAAGAGCCTATGACGTGTATGGGGGTGGTGGAGAATGAAATGTATATGGGAAGAGGTATTGCAGGGCTTGAGTGTACCAAGGAATTTTTAAAATATCAAAATTGTTGTTGCCATCAAAAAATAAAATGTATTACTACAGAAGACACAGGCAGTCTCCGGAATCAAAAGGCTTAAAGCATCATAGCACAGAATAACTTCAGCTTATAAAGGCAAGAAAGTAGCTTACAAGTTTTGTTTTTCTTTATTTTCATTTGTTGATGCAGGATTCAGACTGGCCTTGAACTCACTATGTATCCTAGGCTGGCTTTGAACTCATGGTGATTCTCCTGTCTCAGCCTCCTAAGGGGTAGGATTACAGGTGTGCATCACCATGCCCAACACATTTATAAGTTTTGTTAGTCAGGATGGGGATAGTATTCATCTGATTGATTTCTTGCAACAATTTCATGGCTTTGGCAATCTGTTGAGCCTTTCAAAAATAAGAGAAACCTGTAGTACTATTTGGGGCTCTGTAACCTTGGTTTGTCTCCTTTCTCTTCCCTAGTGGACTTGTGTCTATGAATTTCAAGAAGGAGCTCCAGTGCGACTGGTCTCACCTCGCTGTTCCCTACGACTGACTCATTACATTGAAGAAGCCAACGTGGGCAGGGGTTACATAAAAGAACTTTGCTTCAGCCCTGATGGGCGAATGATTTCTTCCCCACATGGCTATGGAATTCGCTTGTTGGGATTTGACAAACAGTGCAGTGAACTTGTTGACTGTTTACCCAAAGAAGCCAGTCCCCTGCGGGTGATCCGATCTTTATATTCTCATAATGATGTGGTACTGACGACAAAATTCTCTCCAACACACTGTCAGATTGCCTCAGGGTGCCTTAGTGGACGGGTCTCTTTGTATCAGCCTAAGTTTTAGGCACAACTTACATCAAATAAGGACTTCCTGTGGCATTGGACTTGATAAATTACTTCAATTTAGGTGAAGTATTTTCTTAGAAGATCTTTTAAGATTGAGTCAAGATCCTGGTTCGTATGGGTCCATGAACATCCCTGTGACCTGAGTACTTGGTCACCCAGCATCATACAGTCATCCTGAAGCTAGACTCTATGCAGCACCATCTTTTTTTAGCATTCCTCTGCTCCTGCTAACCCGTGCACTGAACTCCAGTTCTTCTGATTACTTTGCATGGTAGCTCTTGTTACGTTTCCTTTTTCTCTCCTTTTTTCCTTCCTGTGGTCCCTGCCTTCCTTCTCTCTTTTCTCTTTTTTGGTTTTAGTATGAATTTTGTGGACATTTGGCCGGAGTTTTGGTTGGGATAACAGAAACCCTTGATGCTAGCAATGAATAAAATCCAAAAGTCAGATGTTAGCATACCCGTTTTTTTTTTAAATAAGAAATGTCATCTTCATTTATCAGTATACTTGCTTTTAAAGT